CCCTCACTATTGCACATGCTAACTATGACCGATGGAAGTTATAGTCCAACAATGACTGGAAGTCACACATTCCTCACCCTCATTCGGCAGGTTTTTTCTTGGGAGTGAATGCAGCAATGACTATAACCTAGACGAAGGGTTTTAAGAAGTCCCATCACCCTTGGCGGAATTCAGCCCTTATGCTGTCAGCACAGATGCTTACCATACTAATTTGGTTTGTGTAAATCGGCATTCACTCAGGAAATGTCTGATAATTGGTACTCAAAAGCTGATAAATGTTGGTTTCATTTTATTACAAAGGCCCAGAGGTCAAAAAGGAACGAGCTATGAAATATTCACACTCGTGATTAGTAATTATAAATGAAATGGTCCAACATTGAGGAGATGGTGAGTGTTTTGCTACTGGTTTAAAGTATCATTTCCATCAAGTAATGCCTTTAAGACCATAAAGAGTAGTTTCCTTGATTGCAATATTCCTGCATTTGCATTACCTATACTGCAGATATTTTACCCCTATTTGTATTACCTATACCACATATATTTTATCCCTATTTCACTCACCCTACAGCTTACTGTACTTCATAAATGCAAACCTGATTATTTTTCCTGAATATTATTGGTTCCAGAGAGATTTATATTGTTATTTATTTTATATTGTTAGTTTTATATTGTTATTTTTGTATTATATTTTATGTTGTGAGCCGCCCCGAGGCTTCGGCGAATGGGGCGGCATAGAAATGTTTTAATAAATAAATAAATAAATTTGCTTCCCAAAAAGGCAAAGATGGATTTCTCATCTGTGGCTTCTTTTCTGTGAATGATAAAAGAAATGTGGTGTTGGCCACTTCTTATCCAGTACAGCAGGTACCGGATTACAAACCAGTTCCATTCCTGAGAATATGGAAGTTTGTCTTTAAGTCGAATTTGTATGTAAGTTGGGTCACAGACAGTCAGTCCTCCAAATTTGTGGGGGTTAGGGGCAGAGGACCCCCATAAATCTAGAAAAAACACAAATATCTCTAGCAACCCTCAAAAAATACACCAGTGTCTCCTCTTGGCAGCAAGAAATGTTGGAGAGATTTTTCTCTCTGGATGTTCAGCACAAAGCTGGCAATAGCCTGTTGTTCAAGTGGACTTAAGGGGTAGGGCCACGATGCACAGCATCAGCCCATTACCCGGTTGAAGTTCTCATGTATTGACACAAATGTGTGAACAGAAGTATAGTATTGGTGGCTCAGAAGGGAAAGTTCTGCAGTTAGGGCCTGGTTCAAGTCTCCTAATTCTCTGCTTAGGCCCAGGGGCAAAGTGTCCAAAGTTTGCATGGAATAAGCCTCTTTGAATAGTGAAACCTTAAATAAAGGTTGAGTCATGATAGCCTGATACTGAGTACCTGCCTCCAGAGCTCTAATATATTTTATCTTCAGTATAATCCTAGGTTCTTGTGTCATTATGATCTACTTTTCCTTACTCTGTTGCACATCACATTATGTTATTGCTGGTGGCAGAGGAACATATACATTGCAAAAAGACAATGGGAATCTCAAATTCCAGCTGTCCCCCTTTTTAGCAAAAGCCACATGATCTTTCTCTAGTTTATGCTTTAAAAATGTAATAAATATTTTTCATTTATTTTTCATACTGCTGTTTGTACCCCAGTTTCCTTCCAGAAGGGAGCCCAAAATGAAACAGAAAAGCATACAAAATAAATATATTTGAATCAAAGCACCAAATGGAACACTCCAAAAGCTTATCCAACAAAATACAATATTTATAAGAATTAAGACAATGTTTTCCTACATTCTAAACATTTACATAAAGATGAGAGCATCATAAAACATAGGACATCTACTTTGTCAAACAGCTACTCTCAGATGTCTCCACTCCAGCAGCCAATGTAAAAATATTACACACCAAAACATTGTAATTTTTATTTGTAGATATTAAAAGCTTATTATTAGCACCAGCCACATATTTGTAGGCGGGGCACTTGAGACATAATACTAGATTCCTTACCCTTCTACATTTCACTGTACCCAAACTTCCTAAGCAACAGCCTACGAGGAACTCACCCACGTATCCACTCCCCTTCACCTGCCTTGCTCTCATGCTTTCTCTCAATATTTACCTATTGCTTTTCTCCTCTCCATTTCTGCACTGTCAGTTTTTGTTGGAAACATGATACTGGACTAAAAAAGATCCAGGTCTGATTCGACAGGGCATTTGTTAAAACCTACTGGGTGAGCCAGGAGTAGAAATAGTCCTTGCTGGAGTTGCAAGGAAGAGGAGGTAGGAGGATGTGAGAGGGAAAATGATGCTATGAAAGTGTCTTAAGGCAACACTTAGCAACTATTTCACCTAATCTGCATGAAGGCCTGAAAACATAAAATCAGCTGCATTGGAGGGAGGGGTGAGGGCCTCTCCATTACCTCAGCTGGGATCCACTGCCTTTGGGCTCGTCCCACAGTTCCCAGAACTGTTCTGTGCAGTGGCCAAGTTATTTCTTTTCCGTCCCGGTCCCTTTTCTGTTTCATATTATGTCTGTTCAATTGTAGCTCATTATTTTTATTCTTGAATAAATGCTATATAGACAAGCAGGTTAAAAAAGGCATTGCAAAGAAGGCATTGAATCAATGGCTGCTTTAAATGATTCTTGTCATTAAAAGTGTGCAGAGGCTGACATGCTTAACCAGATGTAGCAAAGAAAGGGAACTTCTAAAAGGGAAACAGACAACAATGGGCAACATTGAAGAAAATACACTGCTTGAGTGGATGGCTGAACATCCCCCATCAGGATCCAAGGTACCATGGCCCGGCAGAAACAGGATGATGGTGAGAAGCACCAACAGGAAATGTTCTGTATTAAAGATGCTGCTTGGGGAATAGATCACCTTGAGATGGGGAAGGCATGATATGACTAATTTCCAGACTCAAGAAATAGTGGGAGAGTGAATATTTTCCTAGGGCTCCAATGTAACTACAAAAACAAGGTCTGCCAGATTGTTTTCATGTGTAATCATTTGCAGTAAACACTAGATTATGCATTATTTCTACATGCCTTGAAGTTTTTCCATATATAGGATATTTCCAGAAATATTTTTCTTGCTTGTTTTTCTCTCTCTAGCCCTGCCCTCCCTCAGATTAGTGAGGGACATTCATAAATATTTTTGTTACTGAACTGTGGGAAAGGAGCTGTGAGCTGCTTTGACCTTTCTGTAACGTTATTTTGGAACTCACTGCCATTGAAAATAAAATAAACAAGAAAATACAGAAACCTTGGGGACCAGCACATTATCAATAAGCCAGTTCTGCAAGGTACTAAGAAATGGTTGCTAGAAAGGGTTGAGGAAGGCTTTTTTAAGCAAAGCAAAACAAAACACTTCCCTGTTGTTATGGAAGCAGATAACCTACCTAAAAATATAGACTGTATTTCCAAAATTACTGGGTTGATGCCACAGCTAGCTCTGTTTTTAGGCACTTTGTAGTACCAGATGTTATAGCATTTTCAGCGATGTGAAGATTTAACCCACAGTAATTCTGTTAAAATACAGCCTTATAATTATTAGTGTAATACCTTTATTAGGCCAACCAAAAGGTCACAAAAATTATGCACGTTTCCACGATCTCATGATCTCTTCATCAGGTGCCAAGGTTTATAAAAGGTGGGGAGAGGTTTGGTGGGGTCTGTGCAGCCTGGAAGGGAGTAACATTGAATGTTTAAGTCCTTCTCCTCTGCCACTGTACTTGTCTGTTCACATCCATCATCCATGCCTGTCTCATTGCACTTTGGCACCAACTGAGTAGGAAACAAACAAAAAAGTCTTAAACCGGCTCCCAGTTATTGAAAAACTTAGTCCTTGCACCTATTCTTCTGACATCTTTACCAGTCTTCATGCAAACGGCAAACAAAAGAAAAACCTGAATGAACTAGGGAAGTGAATCACTTACTCCCAACCCCATTTGAACATTTCCTTTCCATAGAAAATGTATAGCCATTTTCTGAATTTCTAGATCAGAGTCTAACCTATATCATTTGCACTTTAAAAAAAGAATTTATTTGGTTGGTTAATTATGATGCAATTACTGTATAGTATGGATAGTGTCTTATGAGTTTCATACAACTTAACTACAACTTTCTACTCCTGCATTGCAGTTTTTAGGGTTAGATTGTGTCTATAGCTCTGTGTCTTTGAATTTGGTCCTGTTGTCAATTAGCACATTCCCTTAGGAGTTATTAATACGCTCATGGGAATCATGTTCATACCACTTGTTGAAATTTTTAAATAATCATGTCACATGCCCCTTGACAAAGTCAAAGAGGTTGTTATTGATGCCTCACAGAATATTAAAACAGAAAAGCTTATGTTGTTAAGCTTATCCAAATGAGAGCAAGACATCTAGCTGGAAAGAGAGAGCATATATTTTATTTCATGCTGTTAGGGAACTCTTTCAGCGCTAACTGTTCTGTTATGGAAAGCTTCTCCTCACATGTGATATTTGAGAATTAATTAAACTTTTTCAGGTAAACACACTGAAAATGTGGCAATCCCTTTTCACAGAAGTAACTAAGTGTGGTTTTCCAAAATTTCCTTTATCATTACACTGATAATATTTGTAACAAGACCAATATATGTGGCAGGACTTAGCTATGTGAATCAAACATGCCAAGGCTTTTTCCTCAGACTTGTGTGAATTTAACAATTTAGGGAGTACAGAGGCTTCAGGTAGTAACTTTGAAATAATTTGAAAGATAACAAAATAGTGGGGAGGAGCTGTGTTATTCCTTGTCATGTTATAGGCACTAACAAACAGATTCATAATACTTGGGCAACTACATTCCAAGTCGTTTGAACTGGACTGTATGTGTGAAGTGTGTGGAAAGAATGCCATTTTTCTGAACAAACAAACTGCAGTTCTAGTTTCAGGAAAAAGTATAATGTTGCCTAGTGTTTTATCTGTTAGTATGGGGCACGATATTGTAAATTGTAAATTCATAATACAAATCAATTTAAATATAGTATATTTATTATGTACATAACATACAAAAACATTTGAAAACAGCATCATTTTTGTGAATCCACAGGAACACAATAGACTATACACATACAATCCATGGACCAATGTGACATCTTGTTTGTTTTAAATGACATTGTAGTGCTTCCTTATTTTTCATATATATCTATACACACACCCCATATTTCTGTGCTAGTTTAAAGATATATTAACAGAAGTGCACAATCTAGTGATGAAAATGGCATAGTTCTTGATATATCCCATAAATGTACACTAGTTTGGATAAGTATGCATTGCTTGTAGAAACATAAGAAAACAAACTTACTGTTCAAGTTTAAATACTATAAAACAAAGGCTAAGTCCAGCATAAGTTATGAACAACTCCATCACATTTCAAAATTTTAAGATTTTTGTAGTTTATATAGTTCATCGCAGCTGATATCCACAGAATTAAATTATTAGTCTGAAATTAGGGTTTCAGTGCAAATATTTTCATTTTTCAAAAATTACTTAGCTTTTTGGAGTGGCCAGTGCCAGATGAAAGAAACATCTTTTATCCATTTTTGGAGTGCTCCTGTGCTAATATTATTTTTTCTTGTGCCATCTTTTTCTTTGTGGTCTCTGTGCATTATACTTATGGGTTCTGCACTTGTAGGTAGCCTGTTTTCCAGAATAAGAATGTTCACACTGGAATGGGCCAGACAGTTAAAGTGCTTTATGTAATTAAATACTTAAGTGTGTGTAATGCATCTTAGGTGTGTTAATGGAACCAGTCTTTCCTTAAAACCAAATTTATGATGAAAGGAGAAGTTCTATTTTCATGAAAGCTGACTTAAAAGCTGGAAAATAAACTCTAGCTTTAACAAATTTTGATTGTTTTAACTGGATAATTTGATCCAGCATCTTTACCTGCTGGAAATGAAAATTCTATGAAACATTTTTAAAGAATGTCACACAGAGGGATTGGGGCTTGTTTTACTGATAAAGGTATGACATAACTAGGCTTTACAGCTTGGGTCTGATCGAATTTAGTCACACTGAGATCAATGGGACATAAGTTTCCAGTGGAGTTTTCCCATTAATATATGTGTAGTGTCCATGCCTGTAATATTCTACTGACTTCACTGATTTGCTTGAAGATTTACACTGAAACAAACTCTGATAGTCATTTTGTCCAACAGTGGTCTACACACATCCTTTTGCAGGAAATGAAAATGGAGGTTTTAACTTTCAAATAATTCAAGTGGTGCAAGTCCCACATACCTCAGTATGGGCCAATAAAGCACTTATAAAACTGGTCACCAAATCACTATTGACTATTAATACCTAATTTAAGGTATTATAAACCATGTTTTCTGACTCAGTGGTCCTTACTTCCAAGCAGAACAGGTTGGCTCAATATAGAGAAGACCTATGAATGAAGTTCTGTTTACAAAGACGCTTTCCCACAACGAACTGATGAATGGTGGGAAAGTGGAATGGGAGAGACTCCAGAAGAGCAGCTGCATTCGCTGATTGCTGGATATATTACACATTCTGAATTCAATTGCACATGCAAGTGAGGCTGCTGGAGGAATCCCCAATTCTTGAATGGGAGTTTCTCTCACAAACACTGTTTCTTCATAGGCCTAACAATTAGGACAAATGTGTCTAGAATCAAGGTGAAAGGTGGTAAATCTTGACACACATTTGGCACTATTCCCTTACATTCCAGTTTTCATATTTAGAAATCTTCTTTCTATTAACTTTGCATAAAGATGCCATATTTGGCATTTTCAGCTACATTCTTTTAAAATCTCCAAGACTTTTTTCCCCAGAGCTGGTTTCCACCGCTGAACAAAACTTTTCATATTGACTATCAGTTTACCATCTTGAACATCTTCATATCCAGCAACTAGGTATTTCAAACCTGCAAACAAAATAGGAATATATTTATTGGGTTAGTAACACATTCATGACCTTGGAACTGTCTGTAGTATCATTGCAAATGTAACTTACAAAGAAATGCATTTGTTATTTCTCCAAGATATGCCACAAAAAATTCCACTTGAGAGAATTTTTAGATTACCTTTTAATTTTTAAAACTTGCTTTAAATAATTTGCATCTAAAAGTATGATAATAAAAGTTAACTAAAATGCTATATCCGGTTGTTCAATGCTACAAATATTTTTCAGAATTCCTAGAAAAGTTGCTTTTATATTTGTGAGGCCATTTCCTAGTCCAGTGTGTTTTAATTATGTGTTTTTAGCTTTTATATTCTGCCCTTTTCCCAAGACTTATTGAGTGGTATATTTAAGTACTGTGCCATAGCAACCCTGTAAAAATAGGTTGAGAAATCAAGACTGGTTAACATTAATTTCATGGGAGCAGATTCATGTGATACAGCAACAAATCATGGGATAATTAACCCATGATTTGCCATGGCACTTGCTGGGTGTTTTCTGTGGGCATTTTGAATAATCAACCCCTGATAGGATCAATTAGGGGTTCCTACATTGTGTCCAGTAGGTTAATCATGGATTAAATAACTCAGAGTTATTGTGCAGTTAGTAATTAGTTTGACTGAGTGTTGTTTTACCCATGATTTACCTATAGTGTCTGGGTTTGGATATCATGTAGCAACCCCTGATCAGTCTGACAGAGAGGTGGATATTCAGAGCACATTCAACACCCACTACAGCAAATCATGGATTAATAAATCCCACTCTGGTTACACAGGGGCTTGAATTCTCGTATAACTCAAAATGAAGCTATATTTTAGTAGTTGACCTCTTTTATGCTTAATAGTCTATATTAAGCATATTAGTCTATATTAAAGCATGATAGGATTTTATTTGTGGTATGTTCCACATTTTTTAATAACATGATCTAGTTGTAATATTACAACTGCAAAAATGATCACATCTGGGAAAATGCTTGGCAACAAATTTTGTGTTGTAATTTTTGAGTTATTTTCCTGGGGAAGCCATTTCACAAGAGAGAGACACAGCTGGTCATATATGAATATATATATATATATATATATATATATATATATATATTGTGTGTGAGGATCAGATTATACAAGTTTGGCTTTTTCTTTTTTTCAGTGTCTGTATATGTTGCTTTATTAGACATGCAAAGCAAATACAGAGAGGAGTGCCTTTAATTTCCCTGCTTTCATTATCTCATATCTCTAATTTAAACTCAGTTAAGGAATGAAGTCTAACGGTATGAAACTTTGAGAAAAGATTCAAATTGACCATTTTTGGGGGGAAAGCTTAAACATGAAGATTATGCATGATTTAATAGGTCCAAAGTGAAGCTAAAATCGAAAGGATCGTTTAGCATAAAATTAAATTACTTTAATTGGTAAGAACAATGATTGGCAGCTCAGTTTCCTGAAGTATTCATATGTTTTTAATTATACTCCCAGTATGTGGAAGAAAATGGAAATGTTTGCATAAAAGGCAATTTTTTAAAAAGGCAAGAGTATATGATAGGATGAAATGTAATTTAATTTAATTGTGTTTATGAACTACAAAACTAACTGGGCTGCAGAAAAGTAGTGAAGTGTAAACACAAAATTGGTATTGAACCAATAGAGTCATGTTTTTCATGACAAATACATACCAGGATTAAGTATTGGGCAAGTACAACCTCTGTTAGTCCATGATTCTGGGTAAAGGATCCGTTTTCCTCGGAAAATCTTAAGCTTTGTAGATTTCAATACTTTTTGAATCTTCACATTAACCTCAGCATGGGAGCCTTTATCATGAGCAGACAAAATCTTTGCCTTCAACACTGTGGGAGGAAATTTCAGAAGAAATAATATATCTTTTGTGTTCATTTGTGTGCTGAGTGATAATGCAGAGTGCCAACAATACAGCCTTCTTGCACTTTCAGAATGAGTGTAGTTGTCTTACTGATAAAGCAATACCATATATTCATTGGACGCAAAGAGAACAGAACTAGATTTAATTGAATAGAAACTGTGCCAGTACCTCTACTTGATGAGCCTGTTCAGTCTCTGCCAAGGGCTGGGTGCAGGGAGATGCTCAGTGACCTGATTTTTAGGAAATATGGAACGTGCACACAGCTGCTTCTTCCTACTGGGATTACTGGGAACTACTGCTTACTCATAATTTGAAATCTTTGCACAAAACCACAAAATAAAGCAAAGCTTTCTTGTCACCTAGTCATGTTGTCTTATCTATTTAAAGTACTTATATTTTCTGGAAAGAGTAATAATCTTGCTATTCCAAACTAGCCTGTTTCTTAGTTTATAACTAAAACATTCCTGGATGTTTCTTTCTCCTCCTCCTCCCTACTTAAGCCATGCATGGATAGTTTTCAAGTTAGAAGCCTATCAGTAGTTCTCAAGTAAGCATATAATTGCTGCCACAATTGAAATAGTACTGTAAGTACTTTATATTGATGATATATAGTAAAAGAGATTTGTCACATAGTAACAAACACTGCTTAGCTAACAGAACATGCCTCACTGACAGAACCCAAATACTGCAAGATAAAACCTGGTGGAAAAATTGTGCACAGTAGACAAATCCAAAAGTAAAAGTTACTAATATTACTTAGAAGTCAGAAGACATGTTTTCTCTATAGGTAAAGTCTCAATCGTGTTTTGTTTTGTTTTGTTTGTTTGTTTTGTAGTTTTGTTAAAGTGGTGGATAAGTGCACCACTTAAAATTATGCCCCTTGGCACACACAATTGTACAGAAGCCTTATACAACCATAGGCTCACGCATAGGCTTCTTCCCTGTAGAAGTCCACAGAAGAACTTAAGTGTGCAGGGGAAGGGCCAAGGGAGTGCCCAGTGCTGTGAGTGGGGTCAGCTGCACAGGCCCCACTCCCCAGCAATTGTGTGGGCACCATTTCCAGGTACAATGCATCCACCTCAGTTCTGCTGGCTTTATACTGATGGGACCCATGTAGTGCTAGACCAGCACTAGAGGTAGGTCTGAATGGGTCTGCTGGCTTTATATTGTCAGAAGAAAAGCAGCCATCACTTCTTTATCCCAACAGGATCTGTTGCAATGTGAGATCCTTTTTACTTAGTACAATCTAAGAGTGTAATCTAGTTAAATTAAAAAACTCCATCTTAGGTCTATTAAAGAGATTGCTTTCATCATGTCCAGAAGCAACAGTCTCCCCCACTTTCCTGCCTAAATAAACAAACTCAAAGGTTTGTTTTAAGCTTGGAGATATAAAACTTTGACTCATCCTAATCATGTTAACATTACAGTGTTACATTTATGCAGAGGGGTGTATCCATAGGTGTGCAGTTCACCTGGTCACAGTCTTCTGTGCTATGATAAGATATCCTATGTTTCTATCTAAATTATAATGTTTTTTAAACTTGCATCTGTGTAAGTTAGAATGTGCACATTTGATGCAAAACATCTCTTTTTTGGTGATTCAAAAGTGGCCACCCTACCAGTCTGAAGGAGAAAGCCATACTTTCATAAAAAGCCAGCAGTTATTCAGCTGGCTGAAACACGACGGCCTCCTGCAATATTTTGGAGAGGGTGACAGTAAGTCAAGCTACTTCTCCAAGCTAGGCCCTGTCATACACAATGGCACCTCAGCTGAGGTGTGTGATACCAGCCCAAGGGCTTCTGGCCAGCTTACAATAAGCTTTACAATAAGCCTACTCTTATTTCTTAGTACATTATAAGCTATGTCCCAAGTAACAAGTGCAAGTGTTTTTGAAAGATGATAAAATTACATGAGTACTGTACAATACATTAATGATTAATCCAATACATTAATTAATTAATCAATCAAGTCTTTGAAAGAAAGCTTATGTTCCTTTGTGCTCTTACTATGATTATTCATGGCTGTGTGTCTTTTCCTGATATGGCCAGTGTATAATAAAGGGTATTTAAATAAATATACAAATAAAGTGTATTTAATTGTTTCATCAGCATGTCAAGAAAAGCATTACATGTAAAACTACCACCAGTTACAAAGTCCTGCCAGAAAAAGTTGGTAGTTCTAGCTCTTGCTAGAACACACAACAATCAAAATGCTCCATTAAACAGTTCTTATTAGCAGGAAACATTAGCCCTGTGTTATTTCAACCAAAGGGCTTTTCAATATAATGTTGAAAACTCCTTTCTAATATATTCTAGGTTGGTTATTTTCTGTAAGAGAGTTAGAATAGATGTGATTCTCAGAAACAGGAAATGAGGTGGAAAACCTGTTATTGTGTCATTCTGCTTCAGGCTTACCCTACTGAATTCTTCTTTATAAAGACAACCATCCCCAGGACAAACATACACACACACCATATAAAGAAAACTGGACATCAGTAGAGCCCCAAATGTTAGCAAATTCTGTGTGTGCATGTTTGTTTGTATTGAGACATATTCATTTGTGTGAATTTGCCAGCTGTAGTGGCACAACATGGTAATACACAGCTTTGCATGCAGAGGTGGACTATTTTGAGACAGCTGAGAATGAGTTTCCAGCATTGCTACTCCTGCCTCTCAACTCCACTCTATAACTTTTTGCTAGAGTTGTTTTGTACAACTTGCCTCAGTATTTCGGCTTAATACCAACGGCTCTTATAAATTGGCACAAGTGGCCTCACCTGACTTGTCATTTTTCCAATCAGAGCAGCTCTGCTGATATTTTTCACTAGCAATTGTGGAAATAATACAGTTGTTGAATAATATATATTATTTTAACTCACCATATGTATATTTCATGCCACAGAAGATCTTGGAATTTCGTAAAGCTTGGTCTTTACATTCACATTTTCCTATCAAAACACAAAAATGCCTCCATCTTTGAATTATCATTGATAATACTTGATAATTGATATCATTATCATTTGATGAACTCCTACAAGTACAAAGTATTTCATATAGATTTCACCACATGAATTTCATGGGGTGGTACCCAAAGGTGACATTCTATAAATTCAGATAGTGCTAGCAGAGCAAGTGCAAAGCACAATCACTTGCACAACTATAACTTTAGTTAGATTCTCCTTTTGTGTAGATTCAGAACTTGGTTTCCACTTGTGCAACATCATTTGCATGAATAAAATGACGCAGTTGGATACTGCCCATGGTCATCTAGATCCTAACCCTGGCTTTCAAGGAAACTAGATTCTTTTTGCATGATACATTGTGGTGAATGGATGGTGGTACACAAAGTATATTGCAAGTACTGAAAGGATCGGAATGGGTGTAATTGCTGATTTGAACCTGAACATTTATTTGAGATGTACATAAAATTTTGTTGGATTAAGAATTTATTTTGAGGTTTCTTAAATTCATACAGTGAATCTGATCAATGAACAGAAATAATTTCACAACAAAAAGTATTAACTGAACTCCTTTAAAATATCACATTAATGTATTGTAGGAAAGGGATCCCACGTATATTAACTTGATACATTTATAATGTCTGGAAGATCCTTTGCACATACATGTTTGCACAGAAAGTTTCCTCCAGGTCATTGGGAAGTCAGTGATCCTGGTTTCATGGGAAAAAACTATCCATTTATATAGCTGCATATTCACAGGCATTTTGAAAAGGTTTCCTGTCTATCACTTATTAATTACATATAGAAGATTTTTGAATTTGTAAAGCATTGCAATTTTCATGGTAATCATAGTAGAAAATTTAAAATATGCTATGCTGTGAATTTGCACTGCAATAAGTGAAGGGCAAATCAAGTGCACTAGCATGCCCACAAGTGGAGTACATATAAGATAATGCAGATGTTGTTTCAGATTTGTGAAGCAGAGGTAGCAGAGGCAAATCTAACTCCTTCCTCCCTAGCTTTCCAGGTACTAACTTACAGGCAACACAATAGCCTGCAGTGAGTGGAGGTTGTGCCAATGGCCCTTGCTGACAGTCTTCTTTGCAGTATGAGGAAGACCTTTTTATGCTACCTTCTTTTCTTCCTCAGTGTGGCAGTCCTGCAAAACTCATTGCTGACCATGAATCATTTCAAGTGTGAGCCTGTGAAATATTTTTCTTGTGGCACAAATGTTAAGTAAGCCAAAACAAACTGGCACTTTCGGGCTGCATATGTATTCACCTCCTTTGCTGTGAGATGCGTAAGTAAGCTGCGTTGCAAGCTACTGGTACAAAGGCATGTCATGAGCGGAGCTGACTGGAGCCGGGGGTCAGACTAGATGGCCTGGGAGGACCCTTCTGACTCGCTCTGTTTCTCTGTTTCTACTGCCTTCAGGAGTCACATATTGTAACTAGCTGAATGGAGTCTATTCAATCTCACCGCCACATGATCACAGATTGAATGCACCTGTTCCCAGAAGGAACCAGAGTTTGTTGGAGGGCATATCTAAACAAGCAGTATCATGAAAAAGAAAAAGTTATCAAAAGAGTTCTGGGTTAAAGTAATGCAGAAGCACCAATCAGGATTGTGCTATAAACTCCACCCTCCCAAATTGTGAACATCCCCTCAGCACCATTAAATCCAGTATTCCAGAATGAAAAGAGTTCAGAGAATTCAAAGAGAATAAATGTATTAGTATCTAAAAATAGCAGAATGCTCAATACCAACATTTTTCTTTCCTAAAATAAAGGATTAGGTTAAATATATTTGATGCAAGGTCTAGATCTGAAAGCAATCACTATATACAAAATCAGAAAGAGAAAACTAGAAGTTGCTATTTAGAGTTAGATAAATATAAAAATAAACATTTTCTGATGCAATTCATTTCACTGGGTTTATTCCAAAATTGACATTAAGGAAAATGTAACTTGAATCAAGCCACTACTTTTTAAATCTCCTTTGCAGATAATATGCAAGTGATACCTAGGGGTGCTTAAAACTTAATCTGAGAATGTTTTCAAGGAAAACAGATGGGTTTTTTTTCTTTTTTCTTTTCTTTTGGAAGCAGCAGTGCCCAATTAACAATTAACTGAGATTCACTTGATCATAATCAAGCATACTTTTAAGCAAAGTCACAAGACTTTGTTCAAAACTTTTAAGTCTTTTAAGAGCCAGCCCTTAAAGCCCCTTACATTTTGGTATATCGTAAGTCCAATTGCAAATTATCTAGTGCTTGCTCATTAAGGTCTTAACTTTATTTCTCTCTGAAAGAAATGGTAGATACATGTATAACGAATGCTGCAATTTTTCATGCTTCATGGAAAGTCTCAATTGCTCCGTGTAATTGGATTCTCTGTGTCTTTTTGACAGCTTAAAGACTGATATGACAACACTGAAAGGATAGACTGAGGACGTTGCTTTCAATATTTGAATGGGTATGGTATGGACTTCCCCCCTTCAGAAAGAGCCCTATTAAGATATTTAGTTTACTTTTGCTGAGCCCTATGTACGTAGAATTGCTGGAAAGTTTTGAGCTTCTCATACAAATCCATGTAGATATATTAAAACATGGGTTTTTTTCCTAATTTAAAAGGTTAGATGCCTGTGGGCACGACATAAGTGAACCTTTCACAGGGCACTCACTATAGGATGTGTTCATGGGTGCACCTGTGGGTGCAACAGTTGGAGTCCCTGGTCTATTAACTTAGATTTGTACATTGATCTTGGAATCTTTTACTTACTTCCCTTTTTGTATTTCAAAGCCAGAGTAACTTTTTATTGTCTAGCCATTGATTTACATAAAAATGTTAATAGGGATAGCAAATGGTCCAGAGACCATATTCTTACCTGAATGACGAAGGGCAGAGTATCCTTGTTCATCTTCCCAGCCCCATGCTGGCTCACTCTTGTTATATGCAGAGTATAACCCAGCGATTCCATAGTACCAGTCTACGTCTGCACTGCTGAAATTACCGGAACAATGTGAAATGTTTCTTATGAAATCAGGTCAGCGCGAGTCTATTCATTGCAAAAGAACTGTCTTTATAAAGCTTAGGAAATCAGAAGCATCATTGAAAAATCAATATTGTGTTAATGCAAGCATATTTCAAACATTTCTGAGAGTTGTCAGAAAACAGTTTATATGTAATTCTTTGATGGCTCTCCCACAACAATTAGCAAGAATTTTCTAGCATCCCCAGGCAGAGTATCAAGGATCAACATATACCCAGAATTAATTGCTTGAAACAGGAAGTGGCTGTGCATGGAGATGCACACACATCCAATCTTGGTTCTGGGTTTTTTTTTTTTTACTCTGAAAGAATACTTTATTGGTAAAATAAGCATCCAGAAATTTAAAGTTCAAAGAAGTGTGGCTTTATGTGTATGTACATACAGTTCTTGAAGAACCACACTTCAGCCTTCCTCAACCTGGCACCCTCCAAATGTTTTGGACTCCTGTCCAACTTGCATCATCCACAGCTAGCATGGCCAATTGTTACAAATACTGGGAGTGGTTGTCCAAAACATCTGGAAGATACTATGTTGGAGAAGGCTGAAGTACGTAATTCTAGATTTATGTGGACTAGACTAAATGAAGAATGTTTACTTCCTGTGGATTATTTTATCAAGAAATACATTACAAATTAATACTTCTACAGAATCTGTAATTTGGTATATAAATGTATTTTATAGGTAGCTATATAACATATATTGTGGAAACATTGTCTGAGAGAGATAGTGTTTAAATTTTCTTTGTCTGGATTTCCAAGTTCTGTGAAATGATTCTGTATAGCTGTTGTATATAGTTATACACTATATTTAGCACAGTGTTCTAGAATTTCATTTTGACCTGAAGTCCAAGTGCATCAGACCCCTTAGATTTTCTTTGACATTCTCTTTGCAGTCAGATCAGAACTATATTGGATCACCTAACATTTCAGCCTGAAAATGCCAGACTACATAGACTACTAGACCAAAACTCCAGTGCCTACAGCAGTAAGTGTTTCAAAAGAGGGAAGGGTTAAAATCTGCCCTTTCTAGAGCAGCTGGAGACCTTGATAAAGTGTCAAAAGGTAAGAACTCTCAGTTTAATACATGAAATCCTGAAGTTTACATTGCTAAACTGAAGAACTTTTCACCACTATTCTGGTGCACTAACTTCCACTAGTGATTTCCAATACTCAGTTTGGCAATTGTGTGCACATTCTTGCCTTGCCAGTTTTAATCTGTGTTACCAATTACACTTCAATCCCTTAGAAAGCTGAAATTGACAGAGACTTTGTGCAGGCGAGACTACAACTGACAGCCAGAAGTGCCCAGTAGGGCACCTCCAAGAGAACATTTGGACACATTTCTGGGGCTGCTTTTTAAAAAGGTGGATTGAGTAAACCATAGAACAGGTCATAACAAATGGTTTATTGCCTCCAAAGAAGCCATTTTGCAAGTAGTGATCTAGGTTTGGACAATGTGGTAGCCCACTGTGGCTAGTTACACATAACAGGCTGCTGTGTTGTGTAAATCCAGTCCATCATAGGATATTATGAAGTGTGTAAGTCACTTGCTCATCTAATTTCCAGTGAATCCAGGTAAAGTCTGTGAAAATGCACCATGAAGACTTCAAGGTGAGTGGTAAGATAGAAACCTGATCATTCCCAATTTGTGTGCATATTTTCCTCAGTCAAGTAAGTTCATCCCAAATTTCTTTTACATTCACTGTGGAAATAATGTGACTTCCATAAATTAATCTATGTTTCATTTCTATTCTACCCATAGCCAAGGTTTTCTGTGTGGTTTACAACAAAGTATAAAAAATACAAAAAATAAAAACATTAAGAATTAAAAATTAATTTGAAATAACATAAAAGAACCATTAAAAAACAATAAAAAGAATTTCAAAAGACCTGGCCAAGAGTAAAAGAAAGGTACCGGGCTCAGGGGCCTGAATGACCAAGGGAGGTTTTGGTCTTATGTTGGGGGGTGCCACACAGAGGTGGGTCGAGACCTGTTTTCCCCTGCAGAGGAGGGCAGGGTGCGTTCCAATGGACCAAGATTCAAGGTGGATGCCAGGAAGTACTGCATCCCAGTTAGGACCCCTATCGGTGAAGCCGTATCGGTGAGAGTGTTCAAGGATAGGCTGTACATGCACATGGTGGGCATGTCATGAGTGGAACCAGCTGAAGCTAGGGGTCAAGACTAGATGGTCCAAGACACCCCTTCTGACTCGCTCTGTTTTAAAGGACTCACTCCTTTAAAGGTCTGCACAGAGGACCATCATAACCTGGTGCAGAAAAGATGGCAAATTTGGAGCCAGCAGGCTGCAGCAGGAAGGTTGTTCCAAAAATGGAGGGCCACCACCAAGAAGGCCTTTCATTTAGTTGCTACCCTCCAGACCTCTCAAGGGGTTGGCACCTGGTGAAAGGCCCCATAAAACTACAGAGTGGCCAAAAATGCATTTGTACAATATTAAGAAAATAATAGTGTCTGGCCATCTATAGCAATGTTTATCCACTTGCCTGTTGATGCAGTCACCACTTGATGAGTCACAGCTTCCAGCACAATCGCATGGTCGGCAGCCATAACTTCCAAAGCCCCAGTATCCTATCATGCACCTATCACACTGAGGACCAGCCACTCCAGGTTTGCAGGGACAATCACCATTGCTGGGATCACAGAAGATGCCTTTGTTAAGGGGATGTGCAGTTGATCCAACTGGGTGACAGGCGCATACTGCAATATTAAGGAATATGTATGAGACAGCCTCGAATATAAAAGCCTCTGGGAATAAAATCTGGAAACTAAATACTGATGGTAGATACATAGATTTGCTATCACTCTTTAGGAGTCCATCTTTCATATCCTTGTTGTTTTGTATTTATAAATTCAAGGGTTCATGTAGTATGGGGTGCATATCCCTGCACAGTCATATATTTTTTCCTTCAAGTTCATGCCTTCTCAGTTTAATCATGCAAAAACAGAGACACAGAAGACTTTTCCGGTGAACATATGCAAGTAGTGAAAGAGAGGGAAGGAGAGGCAGGAAGAATGATTTTTGTGGGGTTGGCAAAAATTGTTTATTGTGTGTGTGAGGGAAGGCACTTTGTGCTTCTTGCATGGTATAGCAGTATTGTATTTCCTCTTTTTCCTTCCTTAACAAAAAGCTCTCTTAACCAAATAATCAAGTCATTTCCATTTGTGCTATTCTGTGAGGAAATGTGAATATTCTTGGATTGCTGATTGCAGATCTACCAGGAAAGCTTTTTGTTAAGGAAAGGAGAAGGCTGGGGTGAGAGGTGGGTGAAGAGGCTTTGTCAATGGGCTCCCACTTGGGTTTGGGCCCAGCAACAAATGCCCAGTCATACCTACCCTAGCCCTCTGGCTTGTTTTCCATACTAATTAACCTGTTTTCTTGCCTAAGAGTCACTATGGCACTCCTTGGAAGTAGAAAAGGTCACCTTTTAGCTACCTTGATTGTGTGAACAAAATATGTTAATATTTTGTTAAGTTCTGTTAAGTAAGTGTGCCTCTTTAGATTTTAAGGTATTAAATATGTATGAAAAGTTTTCTTGAATTCTCTTTGGTCTTTTGCCACACCAGCTGCTGTAGTTTGAAGGTCGCGCACGCGCGCGCGTGTGTGTGTGTGTGTGAGAGAGAGAGAGAGAGAGAGAGAGAAATTGAGAAATATAACACACAAGTAACAAATGAATCAAAATAGCTATTTAGTTATTTAGAAAATCAACAAAACTGCTCAGAGTCAATGTAACTTGAAATCTCAGAGTATGATAAACAGTTCTGAATGTTCAGCAGATTTTACTGTTTCTGTCTCCAAATGTAATATGCACAGAATGAATAAAATAAAGTCATTTCATTGTGATTACTTTCTAGTTCAGCTTTGGATACCAAGCCAAAATTCTACAATCTTGCAACATGTGTTTTAATCATAAAACTATTATCATAAACTATTATGGACCTGTTATGGATCTTTCTATCATTCCCAGTTACACTATAGCAAAGCCTTAAAAACTCATGAACATTGTTAAAAACAGGAAAGGGAGAAGAATCCAAACTTAAAGCAGATTGCCACAGTTTACCATGTTAAATAAGATACTGCCGTGTTTTTATTTAGTATATACAGGCTCCTGAGCAAATATTACACATTGTTTCTTAAAGAGTATGTTTAGGTAGCCTAAGAATTGTGGTTTAACAGCTCTTTCATTTGTTTTGACCTTGGAGCTTTTTCATTTTCATGATTTTCCAGAAGTTGAGCAACAGTGTTGGTGATAATTATACTGTGCCACAGACTATTTGAACCCTTTATGAATAAGAGGTTATCAAAAATGCCATTATCAGCAAAAACTAAGCATGACGTAAGGGCACAGTTTGTTTTCTGTTGAGACTGAAATCTCTGCTTGATTTCCTGAAAGCACAAACTTTCTCTGTGTTGGAGCTCTCCAAAAGGCCGTGACTGAGCAGTTTCATGCACGAAATGTCTGTCTCCTCTATTGGCTCTATCCTATGTCCCTCTGACTCCATTGTTGTGGACTTCGTACAGATGATAGCAGCTGAAGATGAAACTGGGATGGTTGCCCAGGAATGAAGCTCATTGTGGCTTGAAGGCAACAGCTGAGAAGAATTTCCTTTGTATCAATAAACAGTTCAGAAATGTAAGTTGTTCAGGAGGAGAAAGTCTGAAAAGACAACTTTCAAGAAGGATCTCTTTCATGGCAAATGGAATGCTTTTATAAAGCATATAGTTTTTTCCTAGAGAAACACATATGTATTCCTGCCATTCCTTGCAAAATGTATTTTGGGACCTTGTCAGTCACAGATCCGTCTAAGCACAGCAACAGTTTTCATGATTACATTCACAGCAATAATTTTACCAGCTGTTATAATCAAGGGAACTGCTGCTATCTAGTATTCTCACATATGCTTACAAAGAATCCCTAACTGGACACACTAGGGAAGATGTATGTTTCTTGGGTGTAGTGGCCCTGAGGCAGAGTCAAATTAGAGGGCCATTGAGAGAGCCCATAGCTTGTCTGGGACTTGAAGCTTACTGTCATCAGTCCAATTATGATCACCTCCTGTGGGCAGTGTTGCTTCTCAGTTGGTAGAAAGAGGCTGGGGTGATGAACTGGATGGAAATCCAGTCCTTCATTCACCCATAGCACTCATTTTTCTATATTTTAAATTTGAGTGAAACAACAACTCTGACCATGCTATTCCTCCTTGCTCTGTAGCTGTTTTATTTTTATTTTTTTTACAAGAAGTCTTAGAACACTATCCTTGAAACAGAATGCTATCAAGATGGATTGGAGGGACAGGGTGGAGACAAGTGTTGATTTAATTGATATAGTAACAACTTGAAGAACACAGGCTACTCTGATGCCCAATATTTTTTAACTGTAGCATAGAGGTGAACTAAGAAATGGGCACTTGTTGGTTGCATACGTACTCACCCTACTAAGTCATTTTTGGTAGCTTGACTTGGTAGTAAATACAGCTGAGAATCTTCTTGGATAAATCTCTATCAGCTTTGCACATTTCAGTCATGAAATGTTTGCCCGCTATTTCCTGGCAAAACTACTCTGGATCTGTTAGACTGGAGAAAGACCATTGGTACGTAAATAGCAACTTTCAAGTCTCATCACAAATTCTCTGTTGGATTGAAGCCTTGGCTTTGACTAGGCCATTCTAAGTCATTTGGGTTTTTGTTTTGAAACCACTCCGGTGTTACTTTCGCTCTATGTTTAAGGTCATTGTCCTGCTGAAAGGTGAAAGTTTGCCTGAGACCCAGGTCCCTTGCAGACTGAAAGAAATTTTCCTCTAGAATGCCCCTATATTTGGCTCCATCCATCTTGCCCTCAATCCTGAGCAGTTCATCAGTCCCTGCCGAAGAAAAACTTGGCAACAACACGATCCTAACACCACCGTGCTTCACTGTGGGGATGGTGTGCTCAGGACAATGAGCACTTTTGGCTTTTGCACCTCAGATTGTGCTTTGTAGCACTTTCCCCACATGTTTACTATGTCTCTCATATACCTTTTCCAAATTCCAAATGGACTTTGATATGGATTGTTTCAGCAATGGCTTTCTTGTCACTCTTTTCCATAAAACCCAGCTTTTAGAGGATTCGGGTGATAGTTGTTCCATGAATGATTCTCCCATCTCAGCTGCTGATCTCTCCATTTCCTTCAGAACTACCATTGGTCTCTCAGTAGCTTCTTTGACTAATGCCTCCTTATTTAGTCATTGAGTTTTGGTGGATACTGTTTATGCAGAGTGGTGGTTTAGCCATATTCTTTCCACTTTGGAATAATGTGTTTAATGGTGCTTTTAATCCAGAAGATTTCCCAGTTTGGGATTTAGTTATTTTATAATCCAACCTTATCCTTTATCCTTGAACTTCATAATGCCATTTGTTAGGTATCCACTCCACCAAACTCTGAGGTCTCCCACGAATGGCTTATTGAATCTGAGATCATGTGACTTTGGAACTTGGGTGGACACTAGTTAATTATAACGTGACTTCTGGGACAGTGGGTTGCACAGAGTGCATTTAACCATGTTATAGCATAGAGAGGGAAAATCAACCAACAAGTGCCAATTTGCTTTTTGTTTCTTTAATTTTTATGCCACTGTTAAAAAATGCATCTTGAGTATGTTGTATGTTGTGTTGAGTATGTTGACATAACAATGCCAGTTAAATACATTTCAATTCCAGATTGTAACACAACAATATGTGGAGAGTGAAAGGGGATAAATATGTTTGCAAAGCCCTGCAGTTATCTTTTAATATCATAGCAACCTAAAAACCCTTTGAAATAAATTGGGCTGAGAGAGAATTAATGGCCCAGTAAGCTTTATGATTGAACAGGAGGGTGGCTAAGTGGGGACTAGAAGCCAAATCTCCTCATTCCTGGTCTGAAAGTCATACAGTAAACAGTTATTTTAATCTGTTCCCTTTTTAGTATCTTCTAACTGCAAGCTACTTGCATTTAACAGATTGGTAGGGGAAACAAATGGAAGCAAAGTGTAATGAAAAGTCCTGTAGGCAGTCAAACAAAGAACTGTTTTATCAATGGCTTAACAAACCCACATCCAAGTGTTGGAAACCTCTGTGAATCCACCTCTTGCAGGCAGTTTCAGCTGCATAATTTGTATCGTGAAATAAATGTAACAAATGTTTAAGGAAAATGAATGACAAAACGACATTGCCTTTAAGTATTTAACTTCACAAATTGATATTGGCTTACGTTTACAGGCATCTGGGGCAGAAAAGGGCTTCCTGAGGTCTCGGTAGTAGCCTGGTTTGCACCGCTGGCAGTGTCGTCCTTCAGTATTATGTTGACAATTATCGCAGATGCCACCACTTCGGTTCCCTGATGCCAGCCATGTTTCCATGTCAAAGTGACAAGTATCAGAATGCCCATTGCACTTACAGGCTGAAACACAGTCAAGAAGAAAAGACAAATTAAAGATGTTGTTGCTGTTTTTAAAAGAATGTAGAGGGGCATGAAAATAATGAAACCAAAACATATGCTGGCGGGCAGATGTTTCTAGATTATGCAGGTTGTTATTCTGTATTTAGTTCCTCTGATGCAACTGACTTAAAGAGTGAAACAGCTACCAGCTACCACAAGCCTTCAGAAGTGCAGTATGTGTTACTTTTGTTAGAATACAGAAACGTCCAACCAAGTATTTTGGAAGCCAGATAAAATTTTCGAAGACAGTAACCCAATTGCATTCAAAGATGTTGAATCTCATCAAAATTCAGGGGAACCTGCTTTTATGTCATATATTTAGACTCACTAATTATTGCTGATTCTGTGTTTTGTTTAAATGAAAAATGCAGAATATTGGGTGTTTTAGTGTCTGGTACAATTTATTTAGGTATTCTGTGAAATTTTACTTCTTAATGGCTGATCTTGGACTCCACAAGGAAGCAAGCAAATAGTTACCTTCTTGGTAAAATGTATGTATCTTTGTAAACTGAACTGTCACCAGTGTTTAAACATGATGTGGATGGTGGCATTAGTTTTGTCTTGCTAATTTATTTCACACAGGGTCATTAGCATTTTGGAATATAAGAAGAGAATGTGCATAGAAAGGAATTCCATTTATCCACAATTGCCTAGAAGCACTTCCATGAATTTGAATTTGATACTTACATCTGCATTCATTTGGGGCTCCGGTTTTGCCATTTGCAGGTTTCCAGGGCTGGTCATTGTAGAGGGGAGCACAATGTTGACAATGAGTTCCTGCAGTATGGTGTTTGCACATGCATCTTCCGTGAACCTAACATTGGGAAGCAGATTATGACCATTACAGCTGCAGTGCCATGTCCAGATAGTTCATTGTGCAAATCTGTCTATTACCATGTATTATTTTCAGATGCTGTGTGCTAATTAGGTAAGCTAGAGCCCACTGAACCTGAAACCATACTGTTAGAGAGTAGATGCCCAAGGGATTCTCCATATAGTAATAAAGGCATTCCCCCAGTTCTGTTCTACAAAGTTCTCGATGGAGTAATATCTAGCTTTAAGCAACAGAATAGCAGATGCTGTTTACTGTCCTTTTAAACAACCTAAAGGGCTCTGTGCTCACAAAAGAAAGGGAATTCACAGCTCCTGTGGGAAACTGGGGGAGGGGGAGCCTGCTGCACTCACAGACAGTGGATAAGTGCTCTTTCTTGAATAATAAAGCAGAGGACTATGGCAGGGCAGAATAGCGGGAGGAAAATAGTTGATGTGGACTACTGTACAGCCGAACACGAAATGCCTCAGGTGGCAGTTGCAATAATGAGGTTATTTCTGGTTGAAAGAAATGCATATTTACAGAAATGGCATATTACTGTTTGAGCATGAAAAACACGTCCCAAAGAAACAATAGTCTACTTCTCCCATAGCAAACATGTAGCAGGGCTGCATTTATTTCTACAAATAAACAATCATGGCTTAGACCTCCACTTTTTAAACAGTGTGTTCCATATATGCAGCACTTTTTCTTGCTTCCAGTATTAATATTCTCAGGATATACCTTGTAGCTTCAATGATTTATTTTGGTTCAAAAGTAAAAGTGGTAAGCAAGAATGACCTTCTCCTTCACAAATGCAATCCTTGGAATCGTACATGCTACAGAGTCAGACTAGATGGTAAAGATACCATCAGTGGAACAGGAAGCCAATACTGGAACAGACTATGCAATAGCTGGTTCCAAACATGTGCTTTACAATTATTCTGATGAATGTCTCTACTTCCTATCTTTACCCCTTCAATATCTTTAGGAAGTAATTGTGGATGGTAAGATAAAGACCATGCTAATGTTCTTTATGAATGCATCTATGAAGGCAATCCAAGTGTGTGCATTTTTGAACTGGTTTTTATTGAACAATTGTGCAATATTATTCTAATTGGCTTGAGTACTACAGTTTGCTTGACTGCTACAGTTTACATGGCAGACAGATAGCTTTATACCCCTGTGATGTCACTTGATTTGGAGACACTCCCACAGGCTCTGTACAGTACAGGAGACTCAGATAGGATATTGCTCCAGTTAGATGACTTGATAGCTTCCTTACATGGTGTGATTCCAGCATTGCTGTAATTACAGGGCATACATACAGGGCCAGGAGCCCTGTTCAGATGGTTAGAAACAGAATATGCTGAATAGATGGAGACTGATCAAGGCAAAAGACCCCATCTCCAAGCTCCCATAGAGCGTCCTTGTTCAGACCCCCTAAGGTTCCTAGTTCTCATGTTTGTGACAAATAGGCTTAGGCAATAACCCAGTGCTGGGATTCATTTGCACAAATGATACTCATAAAGAACTGTAGCTACTGCTTGGGAAATAAAAATATATTCTCCCTTCGGGGAGAAACATGTACAACAATTCTTGGGAAGAGAATCTTAAACTGGAAACTCAATGGGGCACAGAATGTATCTGGTACGTATTTGCATAACACCCTGCTGAATAGAATGTTATGGGCACATCTGCTTAATAAAAGAAACAGCTGGTTAAAGAGGAAAGATGTTCTGCAGAGAGTTGCTATGGGATGATAGACTATGAACTGTCAAGTTGGGAAGTCTGCAATTAAGCTACAAACTCACTTTTTCTCAGCCTTAACTCCCCATCTGCAATATAGGGATACTAGCATTGGTTTGCCTTCCAGGGCTTTTGTAAGTTTTACAGAGATGATACATATGAAGTACCTAAACACCTTTAATAGTTTAATGTTTAATGAAGTACCTTTTATAGTTTGCAAAAATGCTAAATACTGAATCGCAATGTGGTATTTTTTTCTAGTTAAGGCACCATCAATACTTACATTTTTATAAATTATTGTATTTTACAGAATTGGAATGCTTGCTGTTTTATGCTATTAGGTAGTAACAAGTGCAACAAACTGTTGCAACATGAGTACCACCTTCTATTCTCCTTTCTGCCCAGTTACCAATCATACTCCCAATAGTGAGTCAGTATTCTATGTCCGCCGGCCTCCTTAGTCCTCAATGAGCTGCCGTGGGATTGTACTTCCACCTTTAGGGTCACCCCCCACCCCCCACAAATTCTCTGGTACTTTTTCCAAGAAGGTGAATGAACAAGGTGCTGTTTTAGTTATATAAGAAGTAATCCCAGTTGATGAGTGCCAGCTATATAATGAAGCTATTACATAGATTTTGAATTGCCTATTCATCCATCCAAATGGGGCAAATGGTTTAGCACATGGGTCCTCAAACTACAGCCCATGGGACGGATCCAGCCCGCCATGGCCATCCGTCCGCCCCACGCCGCTGTTCGCCGCGCTTGCTGTGCGGGTGGGGAGGTGGTGGCTTGCTTGCTTGCTCGGAGATGGTCTCCAAGCAAGCGCGCTGCCACCGCCTGCCTCCTGTACACAAGCGCTCACCACTGCCTTGGAAGAGCGGGTGGAGAGGTGGTGGCTCACTCACTCGGAGATGGTCTCCAAGTGAGCAAGCCACCGCCGCACGCTCATGGGTGGGGAGGTGGTGACTTGCTCGGAGATGGTTTTGGACTCGCTGGGAGATCTCCGGCACCTCACTGGCCCGTGCCTCCAGGCACCCCTACCTCACCGGTCCACAACGGTCACCGCAGCCTTTCAACTGGCCCCCTATTCAAAAAGTTTGAGGATCCCTGGGTTTGGCAGTTGGATTCATATCGAAGAATTTCTTCCTCACCTCTTCTAAACTGCATGTCCAACTGATTAGTTCAGTTTGGCAGAATAATACATTATGTTTTCCTGACAGAATACAAGGCAGCGAGGAAGAGTAAACAGTGCAGGTGAGATAGCTTATCATTTGTTCATCATTATGTCATACATGAAAAAATATAAACAATTGCACTAAATTTTTCAATCTGTACTTGAATTCCAGAGAATACTTTTCTTGTCAAGAAAGTGTGGCTAGCCATAAATCCAACATAGATCACAGCAGGGAGAGAAGCACAGCTCAAGAGATTCTTGTTAAGGTTATAAACAGCTACTTTCTGAGTGATTTTGTTGGATGTGTTCTTTGTTCTCTAAATTCTAACTGATGAAACTTTTATTGTTCTGGCTTGAATTTTGGTAAGGTTTTTTAAAAGTCACATGGAAAAAGTTAACATTTTGATTACGAATATAGTTCTATTCAATTGATGTCAATAGAAAAAGTCTTGTTTATTTTATTAGCTCTTAGTTCCATTACAAAGAACCTGACAGCTACTCAGAAGACCATCTACTGCATCTATTTGCACAGAGCCTATAAATGGCTGTCCGGGACAATCAGTCTGGTGGAATGTCAGGGTGCACAATTTATGTCACTCAGCTACAAACAATGATCCAGTAGAATTTGGAAACATTTTGAAATAATAAGGTGTAGCTAATGCTGCACTGGGACATATTTCTGCACTTCGATACTCATGTGCCTGGCTCTGGTTTGATATGCAGCCGAGGTACATTTCTGAAGACTGAACTAGAATGAAAACATTTCCAGCAATTTCCCTTTAACCTGAAGTTACATACACGTTGCCAAATGGACATGGATGCATTACTAAATGCTCACAATTCCCAGGATGTTCGACTGTATTGTGAATTGATGCAAGTAAGTTAATTTAACTAGAATTCTTTTTTCACACTATTTTTCATCCTGTCATTAGGCCATCCCATTTTACTTTACTTCCAGACTGCTTTCCTTCTTAACTTGACAGGTCTCTGGTAATGTCACTCATTATGCTATACAAGGCAAACAGTGTTACAAAGTTGACTTGTGTAAGATAAATGAGTGACTGATTTTCACACATGAAAACAGTTGCTAGGGCATGTTTGCCTCTGTTGTCTTTTTGTTCCTGAATTAATATATTCAATTACTTCTTTTCAAATTGTCTGTTTTTGTACAAAATACTTCATGACTTCTGTCCCTGCATCCACCATTATGAGAAAGAACTAACTAACTTACAGGCTGTTGCCTGTCACCGCCTATTTCTTATGATCACTGCTATGCTTTTGAGTTTTGCACAATAACTGCAGCTTTATTGTAATATAGAAGCATATGCTGAGAAAGCATAAATCTTCACAGTCTAAATAAGGGAAGTCAACAAAAGGGCAGGAGGAGAATCAGTCTTTAGGTAATGCTTTTTAAATTATAACGTTTATATGTGGCTCTTTTCAATAGCAAAACTGGCAAAAAATACAGCAGTAAAACATTTAACAAGGAGACAAAGCTAAAGAAAGAGTTATAAGTTTTTTTGGGGGGGGGGATGTTTTAGCAAGAAAAGTATGAACTGAAACATATGAAAGCTTGCAAGGTTTTAATGTATAAATTCTAAACCTGTAACTTTCACTAGATGTTTCCTTGTTGGAAATTCTTTAAAAATAACTACAATAAGTAGAACATTTTTCACACATCATATACTATATTTTCAAGCAAACTTTGAATTTAATAAGTTAACTTTTGTGTTACCAATATTAAACAGCTAAAACAATCAATGAGAGTGCAGAAATGGAAAGTATTTCCTCTTTCCTGCCATTAACTATTTCTTTTGTGCCTTATACTATTATTTCTAATGCTTTGGTCCTCTTTGTCATTCAAGTACTGTATTGGCTTTTGGGGAAAGGATGCCTCTTCTACAGAGATTGCCACTATATAAATAAGTCAATGCAATCTTATACTTGTCAACTCAGAAGTAACTCCCAGTGAGGTGTGGGGGGGGTGAGAATGGGGCACAGCAGCAGGTATGGGATTACAGTTTAAGGCTGCCGGAATAAACTCCATTAAAGACACAATCATGTGCAAGTTTAGACAGAAAAAAGGCCTACAAGCTCCAGCATGTCTGGCCAGTCTGCTGCAACTTGCAGGCCCTTTTTCTGCATAAATTGCACAGGATTGCACCTTAAATTTAATGGAGATAACTTTTGAGTAAAAGCCCCATAAACATTCTTTCTCCAGGTCTAATCAGTAGCATAATTTGAACAGTACCCAGGCCAATCATTAAACTACCAGAAATCCTGAACTGTATTTCACAGACCTTGGTTTTGACTTTATCTGCTAGACTATTGTTGCGTATTGCTATCTACTGCAACGCTTGCTTATGGCTATACTTGTAGAATAGCTATACATATGGGAAACATAAATGGTGACAACTTATTTTAAAATCCAGTATGGTCCTGGATATTTTTGGCTACAACAATCTACCTTGTGTAGCTAATTTGAAAGTATTTCCACCAAGGAAACATCTTATAAATGTTACAGACTTACAAGTTATACATTAAATCTTTGTAACCTTTCATATGTGTTCATTTTCACACATGTAATGAGGTTAATTTTATTAGAGGAGAACTATGCTTTCTTTTCATGTTGAGAGTTATAGTCAAACAAAGATTAGATGTGTTCCAGGCTAGATTTGGCTTGATGCCAAATCCTCTTTCCAATAGAATTTCACTTATATATAATTTCCCTCTTTTAATCCTAGCCTTTTAATGGAAGTACTGCACCAATCCTTCCTAGTTCTTTTCAGGACAGAACATCTTTATTTGTCAATATTCAGAACATCTGAACTGCTTATACTATTGATGTGAAAGTGGAATATCTTATTCTATTGCTCACAAATCATGAAAAACCTATACAAAAGGACCTATAGGCAATATTGAATGGGAATAATTCTTCATCTAAACATGATCCTTTGATCCAACACTGTTTTCTCATCTATTGTAATTAAAAAGAATTTCAACAAGGCACTTGATAAGAGAAATGTGCTTTATAAACAGGAACATGATAGAACCTTAGTTATTTTGATACACTTGGAATGAAAATCTGTTGTATTCAATGTAACTGCCTTCTGAGTAATCTTGTATAGTACTGCACTGTTAAACTTGTGCTTAACCATGTTCTAGTCAATTATTTAAAATATGCATTTTATTTGCATTTAGTAATCTTTTGAGCTGCTATATGGCAAGATTCAGTGCAAAGGTCTGATCTGCTTTAAATCTGCAAATCAGGACATATGCTTAAAAATGTATACTATTGAGCATCCCTGCTACCATGTGAATTCAAAGACATGTAACAGGAGTCCTACAGCCAGCATAGCTCAGGAAAAGTCACTCTAAGTGAAGGCAGTTGTAAGTGCAGAAATAAGTAGGAAATCAGTGCTTTACCTGCTTACTGTTTCCCTGTCCCAATCTGCCACCCTTGCAAATCCCACTTACATGCACAGCCTGGGGTTTCATAGCTGTAAATAAGAGTCACCCCTGCTGAATCCTGCAACAACTTCTCTTTGCAGTGAGTTAATGTGCTGCTTCCTGTGCATTTCCCACTTATGCTTTGCATCCACTTTAATCCATTACTTAGGAATGGCTTGTTGATACAATGTGTAGGTCAAGAACTCCAGGTTGTTGAGGGACAAAGAACCCAGAGTTTCACCTCAAGAAGGAACCATGCATTCAAACTAGGTTGATGAAAGCAAACGCCAAGTGGAATTGATGAGTGTGTGGGAGGAAGCTCTGACAACCCATGGTTTAAACAACCTGCAAGTTGTCTTACATGCAAACTGGGTCATTCACAGCTTAATTCAAAATTAAAGTATCCCAGACCTTTCTTGCCTAAGTAAGATAGATGCTTCTTTTGAGAAATTCTTAACATTTATTATTCCTTATCCTGGAACAGCTCTTACCTTCAGGGGATTAATTTGAATGGCATCCCTTGACTTCGAGAGGCTAATTCTCCACCAGACTGCCCCTAGATTGCCCCTAGATGTATAAAAATACATCTCATTTTTGAACAGTGAATCTGTCCATCTGAGATTTTGAGCAAAGTCTGTGTAACATAAACTTACCACATGGAAGACTCCTGCAGCTTTAACAGGCCTAAATCCTTTGATGGGCCCACAATGATCTGCATGACCATTACAAAAGCAGCTCCCCTTTACAATAAAATCATAGACTGCGTAGTAGGCTAGCTGCGGAGGTTTTGTGTTCAGGTCATTGCTGTAGCAAGGGCAGGATTGTCGCTTAAGCAGCCGTACTCGAAGGTTAGTGATCTTCAACTGTGCCTGAGCTTCAGGACTGTAAGGGTCATCAGTAGGATTAAGTGGTGACAGAGCTCGATATATAACCTAGAAATAATAAAAAAGACAAAATTAAGTGAATAAGAGGGATGCCAACTGGAGTCTTAAAAAATGCTTGTAGAGAGGGCTGCTTGCATCATTTTTCAACAGTACAGTATACTCTAGATCAGTGGTGGTGAACCTATGGCACGCGTGCCACAGCAGGCACACAGAGCCCTCACTGTCGGCACGTGAGCCAAGTTGCCCCAGGATCGCCCCAGTAGCCGAGCATCAGATAACAGCACCCATAGGGGCCATGTGCATGCTTGGAAAGGAGTAGCGCTGCCAGGCAATGACATCAAAAGTCACAACTCATTAGCCGTGACTTATCTGAGCTTTCACATGGACGGTCAGTGCACAGCCAACTATATATATATATATATATATATATATATATATATGCTTGGACTGGCTGTGAGTTTTTTCTAAACTAAAAACTCAGTTTTCAGGTTTTATTGCAGTGTTGGCACTTGGTGATAAATAAGTGGGTTGCAGTTTGGGCACTTGGTCTCTAAAAGATTCACCATCACTGGGTTAGGGTTAGAAAAACGAGGTGTCCTGGCATGATTTTATGGTTGGAATGTGTTTAGAATGGGCAGAAACATTGAGCTGTGCAGAAAAAGCTACTCAAGGCTTTTTCAAAATTGCATTATTTTCAATGGAACTTTAGCCCTATGTTAGGGTTAGGGGTGTGCACCAGGATAGGGTTGGGGTTAGAAAAACGAGGCATCCTGGCATGATTCTGATGGTTGGAACGTGTTTAGAATGGGCAGAAACAATGAGCTGTGCAGAAAAAGCTACTCAAGGAAGCCTTTTTCAAACTTGCCCTCTTTTCAATGGAACTTCCGCCCTGTATTAGGGTTAGGGGTGTGCACCAGGGTAGGGTTAGGGTTAGAAAAACGAGGTGTCCTGGCATGATTCGGATGGTTGGAATGTGTTTAGAATGGGCAGAAATGATGAGCAGTGCAGAAAAAGCTACTCAAGGAAGGCTTTTTCCACCAGGAGACTGTGGAGCATAAATTCATCAGAAGCAAACATTGCATTGGTTATGAATCAGACACACATATTTTTGGCAGCTTGCATTTTACCATGGTTTTCTTATTTTTGCTTGTGTGGATCATGCAGGGTTATAGACAAGGAAGAAATATAGTGCTCTGCTGAGCTTTACAATGTGGCTGAAGCTCAAGATGGAAAGTGTGACACATGCTAAGCAGAACTGCTTGACTATGCAGTTCATTTGCCATCAGGTTGCTGATAGCCCAAGTGAGTAAAGCTCCAGTGACCTGCATCTGAATATGCATATTTTCTATGTTCAGTATTCCAAATGGCCTTTAAAATATGGAACCATGTAATAGTATGGCCTAAGCCAAGCCATTCTGCTGCTTTTGTTCCTTCTTGTGATTTGGAGTACTTGCTTACCTCTTTGACCTTAAAAGTCATCTACAAAATTCATCAGAAATATAGCCATAATATATGGATTTTATAGCCATGGCAATCTCTCTTATTATTTTAAAATAGAATATTCCAGATGTTCTACTGGTTCCGCATTGCCTTATGAAGCATCCAAGTCTTGCTGTGTTGTTCTCCAGCACATCTGCAGAATGCCAGGTTAGGGAAGTCCTGTTTCCCTATCCTGCCAGCTACTGATGTAAGCAACAAACAGGTATGGTCAACTCTCAGGAAGATTCCTGTAGTGATAAAGTAAGGCCTTTACTACTATATGTTCTAAGTGAAAAACATTACCCAAGATCACAGCAAGGAAAAAAACTCTACTAAAAATAAAAGCTTCAGCAAAAGAATAAAATATAATAGGAGAAAAGGGGCCCTTGGGCCAAAATGGCAGAAAACAAATCAAATCAATCAATCGATCGATCAATCAATCGTAATGAATAAAACACTACCTCCCAGCCTAATAAAGTCCAAAGACATGCAAGAAAAACATGCATCCATGCAAGGAAACCACAATAGTAAAAGAAGAACAAGAATAAATGGGACCCCCGCTCCCCCAGGACTAGGATAGTGGGAAAGGGCGCCTACTAAAAATTCTTCAGCTATAGCCAGTTTCCAGACTGAGCCCCTACACAAGTACAGAGCCCAAATGTGCAATGCCTAGAGACTATGAGGAATAAACAGAATTTGTGAAATTGTATAACATCATTACTGATCATGAGGCATATCTGTTACAGTATCACCTTTAGCATCCACTTAAACTTGACCTTGTGAAGCTTGAGCTAACACAAGAAAGTTTTAATTCTAATCTTAAACTGGCAGGGTTTTTTTTTCAATTATTGAATTATTGTAGCACTTGAAAGTGTTATAAACTCTGTATCCTAATTCACATTTACCATTCAGAGGGAATTAGAATACTAATTTCATAGGTGCATGTTTCCTCTGTATACCTTTTGAAATGCTAAATCCCCCACTGGCTGCTTATTCACTACTGGACGAGGTTTTTGGTGTGAGTGTATAAAGCCCTAAACAACTTGTGACCGCAATACCTAATAGAGCATCTTTCCCATAGCAACCTGCCTGGCCACTGAAGTCATCAGGTGGCATGTTTTTGGTGGTTCCGCATGGACCTATCATCAGAAGAGCCAAGTGAAGAGCCTTCAGAATAACAACTCCATTTCTGTATCCCTGGCTCTGGAAGTCAAACACGCTTTAACATTGTATTGTTTTTGGTGCCCTCTGACCACATTTTATTTTCAGATTCAGCCATATTTTATGGGGTTTATTGCTTTTGCCTTTAACACATTGTTGTGTTTGTTTTATATAAAGCTCTTGTAAAGAAATACAATGAATAAAAACATTTCCCTGAATAAATCTACTTCCTGGATTATTCACAGGCTCCAAAGTTTTGGCTGGTTGCTTACTCAGATTTTCCCTCCTATAATCAGAAGTACCCATTCAAACAGTGGGAATCGTGTGTCCTAGCTGAAATGTGACTGGATGGGTCCATTTATAAATAATAATTCAATATTTAATATTTATAAATATTAAAACATTGCAAAAAGTTCTGAAAAGGACAGGTACAATGTGAAATGACATGAGTCCAGGAAAACGTGAATCCAGTAAATGAATGAAGAGTCAAGAGTCTGGCACAACTAAGTTAAAATGTCAAGCGAAAGAATTTACTTCTCATTTTTATTATGCATGAATATTGTTCAGATGGGTGGAAGGGTTTTGTTATTTACACCCTCTTTTCAAAGTAAGACATATGGCATCAGCACAAAGCTTTAATAATCCTTTGCCAAAGGCTCTTCCGCTTGTGATAAATTTACTTGGGCTTCTGATTTCTCCACCTCACTGGACTCTCACTTTTGTGTTTTCACTGGCTTGTGTGCTGATCATCATGTCTAAGCACTTTTTCCCCCTAACATTTTTAGCTAAGCTTCTCTCTTGACCAAGATCTGGCTCCCTTCCAAACTGCCAGACTTCACTCAGAGACTGGGGGCACTCAGGGTGGGGAGGAGTTGTAAGGGAACAGAAAAGGATTTAGAGCATTTACATTTCTGAACTGAATGGAAGCAGTGTGCTTTTGTGCACTTTGTCAGCATGCCAAATCTGGCAGCAGCCAATGTGATGGAAACAACTACAATTGGATGTCTTAGTGCCTACAAGCTGGGCATTAGAATATATGCATGGATTTTACTAATGCATTAAAAAAAACCTTTGGGTGCATATGGTGGTGATACTTATACATAAAATATTTCACTTGGTGTACTATACAATTAGATACCTGTTCTATGGATTGGCAGTAAAAATCCTTTAAAGGACTGCTAAATGAGAGCAGGCCAAAAGTTAGGTTGGGGAAGTCCATTAAGAGGGCAACACTTATGAGCTGTGTTTGCCATGAGTAAAAGTGGTGAGCCTTTTGATGAGAGATCTAAATAATCGGCAACACAAAAGGCTTTTGTTTCCCTTTCCTTAAGACATCAAACCTTCTATGCTTATCCAGGAAAAAAGTTTATATCAGACAACTATGGACAAAAACTCAGATTCCAGCATCACTACTTGTATTCATTCCTGGGGTTTTTTTGCTGTATGTATCATACAGTCCTGACTACAATGCCTTTTTCACAGCTTTGTGAACAGGAGATGACATCAAATATGAAAGAAAATTGCTTGGATATCATCCAAGTTCTAGATATGCATTGCCTTTTAGATAGAAAATAGAGGTTGAGACATTTTCAAGAAAATCTAGTACTCTGGCTTCCCTTGAAGAAATAATATCCTATTTTTCTTACTTATTTCTTGATTTAAAATATGAAATATTCAGGGAACAAATGCTATGAAATGAAATGGTTCATATTAGATATGCCAACTGCATTTCAGCATTCCAGACTGTCTGCAGATTTTGAATCAGATTCATAAGTTAGTGTCTGACATAAATGCTGCATTTATAGCTAAATGCATTGTCCAACGGACTGCTTGAAAAGCACATTGACCTGGTTTTTAAGGAACTTAAAGGAAATCCTGTAAAAGGACTGCATCCATCTCTGCATATGAAAGCCATGCCTGGATTGTCATGTGTTCAGCTGAGAGCTATTAATTATGAAATAAAAGTGGTGGCCACCCTACCTCTGGATAATAGACAAAGCCTGATAGTTTTGTCTAGCTGGCAGCCTGTCCTATCTCACAGGGTTGGAAGTGCAGTCATGTTGCCATTGTCTTCCATTTTTTTCCACTAGGATTTTCCCCACAAGATGAAAAGGGTGATCTATGTATCTGTTTTTGCTTGAAGGCAGGAAAGCAACTTGCAGTTAATAGCAGGAGACAAAAGCAGCCCCTCCTTTCTGCCTTTTCTTCACTGGAACAAAGTAGTATCTTCCTGCAGCTGATTTTAGTTTTAAAGAAGTCAGGTGATTATCTATTCATCTCTTTGTGTAATTGCCTGGTTTGGCATAATTCTTCTACCCACTCTTCCCTGAATTTCATGTATTTCAGCCTGCTACTCTGCCTCTTCCTTGACTTTACAGGTGCTCTTCCCATAATCTTCTCAATTTCCT